TTGCCGTCGAGTTCGAGGCGGAAGTTTCCTTGCGACTTAAAGCCGGTTTTCCACTAGGCGGAATTTTGCGCGCAGAACGGACTTTTTCTTTTTTAATTAGTTCCACCCGAGAAATCACAAGACGAAGAAAAATTCCGCTCCGCGCGCAAAATCCCGACTAGTGAAAATCGGCCTAACGCGCAGTTGAGACGTCTTTTTTAATGCTCTATTCAATGGTCTTTCAGATTAATCAGGTGACATTCTTTCCTAGGTGTTTCATAAAGCACGCACGGCCGCTCCATGTGTAGTATTTTTTGACGAGATTGATGCAGTAGCAAGCAAACGTGGTGGTAACGATGGCGATGTGTCTAATGTCTCTGAACGTGTTTTAACACAACTTTTAACTGAACTGGATGGTGTCGAAACATTGAATGACGTCACTTTAGTTGCAGCCACAAATAGACCTGATGTCATCGATAAAGCTCTCATGCGTCCTGGTCGCATTGACCGTATTATTTATATTCCACTACCTGATGAAGAAACAAGAACTGAGATATTTAATATTCAGTTACGAAACACACCACTTGCTCCTGCCGTCAACATTGATGACATCATAGCTCAGACACAGGGGTATTCTGGGGCTGAAATTACAGCGATATGCCGTGAAGCTGCATTAGCTGCTCTACAAGAAGACATCAATGCTATACATGTCAAACATGAGCATTTTGTTCAAGCTTTACAAACTGTTAAACCAAGAATATCTGCGGATCTTGTTCAGTATTATAGCAAGTTTCAGGAGCAGTGTGGGATACATAGTTTATAGACAATACAATATGTGGGAGGCTGTTGTGGTGCACTAGACTTGCATCTCTGCATGAGAGATTTTTATTGCAAAATATGGACGGACGATTGACAAGTGTATCCCCAAAGCTCTCACCAGAAAGTATTGGAACGAGACATAGGCGTACGCAGTGAGAGAAAACATCAGGGGGTGGGGTGGTGGGGGCGGGGGGAGTGAAAGAAATTTGCCCGGATGTTTTGAATTTTTATGAGTTTTATGGGGAGGACAAACATTTTGGGAGGGTTACAGTAAATATTTTTGCCACATTGCATATTTCTTGCATTTTCGACAATGATCTTACATATTTCTTGCTTTTCAATTTTTCTGGGGGGAAACTGCGCGAGATTGGAACGAGATTGAATTTCCCTTCTCCTGGTATATATTTTAACACGTGACGGTTTGCGGGATGTTGTTGCTAGATGTGGTCCTTCGCTCGAAACGTCAAAATTCGTTTGTATTTTTCAGGTAGTTGAATATTTATAGTTAGAAACGTCAAAATTCGTTTGTATTTTTCAGGTAGTTGAATATTCTTAGTTGAATAGACTTTTCACAGTTGAAAACTTGTATTAAGTTCTTATGCCATTGAAATGAGTGAGTAATTGTGAGTATTTCTTCAATCAAGTGAACATGAATTTGCTTCTGCACATCGAATTTTGGAACATACACTCATGAGTATTTCAAAGACTTAGTATAAGCACAGTTATTTTAATAGATGGTTTGGAGACTCGATGAAAGTACAATATAACTCATTAACTATGTTATTGTCCAGCTTTATGCAAGAATTTGGTCCTATCTCGTCACGTGTGCATTGTATTTTCGCTCAAATAACCAGTAACAAGTTTGTGGTTGAGTTATCCATCCGTAACTTGAATAAATGCTCAATTTAAACATTGCTATTGGTTGTGCTGGAAAAAATACAATACACACGTGACGAGATAGGCACAAATTCTTGCATAAACCGAAACAAACATAGTTAATGCGTTATATTGTACTTTCATCGAGACGATCGAGTCTCCAAACCATGTATTCTATTAACTATGGTATAAGCTGGTTTACACTGTTAAAGTTTCTGTTAGCGCAGTATAGGAATTTTGCAAGGTAAACTCTTTTAAGGATTTGTAAGAAATGTTTGAGGCAACTGACTCAGTGTTTCTTACAAATCCTTCAAAACTCAGAAGAATTTCATGATCACACAAACTTTGATTCTTACAAATCCTTCAAAACTCAGAAATTCCTACCATGATCACAGAAACTTTGATTCTTACAAATCCTTCAAAACTCAGAAATTCCTATACCATGATCACAGAAACTTTGATGAGGTGTAAACCAGTCATAGATAGGCACATTTCTACTGCATTAGTCAAATTTATTGCACTCGTGCAATTTTGATCGTCTTTGACAAACCACTCGTGCATGCATGTTTTTTTTCCAAATTGTACTCAAAATTCTCAAAACCATACTGGGATTACTTCCACAAAAAAGTCGCAATAAAAATCACGTGTGATTATCAGATAAGGATTACAATGCGTGAAATACCACTGGGTATTAGGATAGGGGGTCAGTTTTGGTTAATCCAACTTAATCCATTGTTAATTCTGCTGTTTACATAGAAAAGTATGCATTTTTACATGGTTAAAACTGTTTTTATCGGACTATGTCGAATTTTTCCTGACAAGTGGCATAGGCATGACTGTTTTATGTGACACCAGATTAGAACAAAGAAATTATGTGGGCCTTTGTATAAGAGTGGTATTCTCGTAAGACTATGTTATATTGCTATGAACTGCCTTTAAGGGTTAAAGCAAAGGGTGTAAGTCAGGGTGTAAGTCAAATGATATAAAACTCCCTGCATATGTAGATTTCTGGTAACATACTTGGACCACACATTACGATACAGTGTGATAAACTTCAAACTCGCCACAAGATAATCTCGACTTGCAAAATGCTTTTGGAATTTTGAACAATGAGTAAATTAATATTGCAAGGTGTAAAAAAGATTTAACCTTTCCGTGCAGCTGGTACTGCCGGACATTTTCCAGCACTGGTATCTATAATCTATATGCTCTTCTCACTGTAAACGATTGCTTCTAAATTGTCGCCTCTGGGACCAGGCGATCCACAGATTTTCAAGCTTTTTATTAAATTTATCGATCGTTGATTGTTTATATTAAGCTTTAGTATCTTATCAATTGTGATGTCCATTCTATAGTTTTATAGCTTTCAAGCATTTTTACAAAGGTTGATAATCACTACCCTGCAGTGGTTAGCGCTGCCTGGTCTTCTCAGATTTCTTGTCCAATGGCAATGTGCTGAAAGTCATGTTATACTTGTTGAATTGTATTCAGTATCGGAAAAAGAAGAATTGCATTCACTTGAAGGATACTTCTAATCCCCATGCATGAAAAATTCAAAAAGATGTCTAGATAATATTTAATTCTCAGGATCAATATACCAGCCATACGCATGAGAGCAGTTATATACTTACCTGGACTTATTTGACAAATGCGTGATTATCATTTGTGGTCGCTATTTTCATAATTAATTTTAGAAATTAATTACTGACTGTCTTACTGATAAATTATTCTGATCGTTTTGGCTCAAACATTTTCCACTAGTGACCAGTCTTGTGCTTCATAATTTTTCTCTTTTCATACTGTTTGTAGTCTGTATATCAATTGAGATGACGTCGAATAAGCCAGGTTTCGAATGGTAGGAATCTTTTTATTTAAAGGAATCGGCCTATAAAATTGTCAGATAATTCTTGCTCTAATCATAGTCTAATTTCACCACCCACATTTCTGATAGTCAAAATCCAACACAAAGTTATCTGTCAAAATGCAGAAATACTGAATTCTCTCTCGAAAATTGAAAAATATTTAAACATTTGAAAAAAACTTTTTCGTCAGTGACTCGGGTCAGCATAAATGTCAGTAATCACTGCATGCGATCGAATCGTATGATCAAAATCAGATAAACATACTAATATTGACTAATGCCGCTTTAATACATGGGTCATGGGGGTGTATGGATACAGATTTCGAATATCCTAGCTATTACCAGATTTAAAACATAATTAAAAGTAATGTATATGGATTTGAGATTACACAAACTAAATATTTGCACTTGAAAGTGCGATCACGGTAACTTGCCAGTATACAAATCAGTTACTCTGCATGCATGGTCTGGTCGAAACTGGACATGTACATATAGTTCATATTCACCTTCAATGACATTCCGTCAAGTCAGTCCAGACTCAATTACACTACAATTACAGGAAGTCAAGTTGGGTAGAGAGAGGCCTTACAGAAGCCAGTCGATGCTTGGGTGCTGCACCGGAACGAATGGCAAGACCGCGTCTCGCGAGGACGTATGCAACTGCATAGTTTTCGCAGCTGCTCCTATATAGTCGCGTCACAGATTAATATCGCGTCTAAATATGCAATACATTTCCCCTTAAAATTTCCAACAATCAAAACCCTTCGACATCTAGGGCTAGTCGCGGACATATTTTCAGTGAGGTCTTGCTCTTTCTTTCTGTTTCGTCTCATGTATTCTATTGGCGGTCATGTTGCGTGCAGTCCTGTATGCAACATGACCGATGATGACCAACATGATGGACTAAAGTCGGAACACGGTCGGGACTCGGGACATTTGTTGGTCGTGTAACCATGCATGCGTCGACCTGACCGATGAATGAATAATAAAAGTTTTTCTCATGCGGACAAGTGCCAAATGATGGTTGCGAACATGATTATCTACTATTGCAGCCTGTGCCGCTGTGGCTGTGAGGAACTCATCATTATTAAACTGCTTATAGTTATATACAAGCTTCAAAAAAGCGCTTTAGCACAACGTCAAAGACTGTATACTGTGGATATAGCAAATCAGTTTCGGTGGTTTACAACGCGTTTCAAACTGTTTTTTCTCTTTAGTTAATTTCACGCTTACGTTTGGATAAATAAAAATATGTAGTTTTATTATTATATTCGTAATAACTAAATCATCTGAAGTAAAGTGCAGTGTTAAATACCAAAGTTGACAAGTTGTAAGTTGTAACCTAATTTAGCATTGTTTTGTACTTTCAATAATACCAAAAATAGTATATCAACTATTTGGACGAAAGTCAAAAGTTTAAAACCGTCAATTAGTACAGAAATAATTTAAAGTTTAATTAAACGAAGACAAATTCCAAGACTAGAGTAGTAGTCAGAGATTTGAGCTTGCCACAAAATGTCCCGACCATGCATGGACTTCACTGCACTGACGTAGAACTCTTAACAATTACATTCTCATCATTCTTACTTCGAGACAAGACAATTTGTCAATATGCTCGCCGTCATCACTTCTTTATTCTTTAACCTGCTGTTGCCAGTCTTAGTGAAATGAAGAACTCGTCACTAGCTTGACTCGTACGTAGACATAATGATTGCAGCGTCAAGGTCTTGCTGACAGTCTCCTCGATATTATATCCTTCTCCGTTGGTATTGCAATAGCATGCAGTGCGATTTACTGTCACACGAATAAAATTTCCATAAGGGATTTTCGCTTTTTCCTTTTCTGCCTTTTTTCACGACGCTTTTGTGGTGAACAATCCTCTAACTGGCATTCATTACTTGACACACCAGCTTCGTCTGTCTCTGTGACTTCAGATTGTTTAGCTCCTGTGTTCACAACTGGTTCCCTCTCACAAGGCTCGTCAAACTTATGTTCAGCTTGTTTAGTGCTAATAACTTTATCTATTTCTTCATTGTTCATTAAATCTTTTGTCTTATCGTTTTCCTGTGATATTTCATTGGATTTCATACGAACATCTAGGTTGGCAGTTTGAATGATCTGTCGGTTGGACAGTTCAATATCTCGCATACTTGTTTGATTAGTAGAGTACATGGTAGAGTGGCTTGATGATTGTTCTAGTGGCGACGAAACCGAATCAGCAATCATATTTGTACAAATTATTTTTTAAAGTGTCATTTAATGAAAGCCATAAGTTTATTTCTGTTCTACATACCCAGCGCTGTATGTTTGATACAATGAAGATCTGTCTTCCATCATGATTTATTATATTGTGAAACTTGATACCCGTAAGATTAATCAATTAGTAGTGGGAGGGGGCCTGAAATCATGCAGACGTGAAATTTGAATAAAACAAGCCATCCTTCCTGACGACAAAGCAATGCTTAGCTATGCTTAATTTAATTCAAGTATACTACAAGGCCAAAATATTCAATGTAGATCGATTTTTGTAGATGGAATTTTTGAACGAAAATGATATACAATTTTATACAATTTAATTTAATTTAGGCCCATTTCATAGCCATCATCAGGGAACATGATACAATATAATAATACAAGGAATCGACATTTATGGTATAGTTGCATGTGTTTCAATCAGCCAATAAAGCAAATTTGCTTGCTGGCAATGAAAACTATTTATATTCCATGGATTATATTGTTTTTCATGCAATTGTTTTGCGTCAGGAAAATTCAGGAAGTGTGTATTTATAGTTTTGCCTTTTGGTGTTAAAACAAGATCCAGTCTGTGACTGTGGTACGATAAGTGGGCTCGTTACATTATGCTCATGTGTTTGCATATAACACATCTTGTCAAGCTCTACCTGCTCTCACATACTTTTTGATTTGTTTCAAATGCCTCAGTGAGGAATCTTGTCCTGTGGCAAGTCTAAGTTCACAGTTGATGGAACGTGACCATTTCTGGATAAGAGAAGGGTGAGGCAAAGGGAGTATGGATCTCACATATTTGTAGATTTTGGTTGAATAAAACTGCAATATAACGCAAATTCTTTGACCTCATTTGAATATCTCTTTCCTGGAATTCTTTAGTGCATTTTTTTATAAAGACAGTTTTATGCCATCCGAAAATTAGATCGAGTGTAAAGGCGGATTTCCATTCAGTGGAAAAAGTCGCGCGATCGACTTTTTGCGATCACTTTCTTTTCAAATGTGTTCAGTCAACCTCATCCTTTGCGCTTGATTGCTTGTATTTCAAAAGAAAGTGGTCGCAAAAAGTCGATCGCGCGACTTTTTCCACTGAATGGAAATCGGCCTTAATAGATACATACTAGTGCCCACAAAGGGTACATTTTTATTATCCACCATGCCAAAAAAGTGGGGAGGGGGCATGCCCCCCTGTTCCGCTGTCCCTGAGAACTAATCTGTTCGTTTGCTCAAAATGGGGGTGAAGTTTCATTTATATAGTTTCCTTTTCCGATTGACCCCAGCACTTTTTACGGTAATTATTTCAGCAAAATGACCATACATGCATCTTCTCAAAAGCATTACTTCAACTTTTATCCTTAGTTTTTATCGATAATTTTTGGAAAACACACTGCATGATTTAAAAACCTAACTTTTTTTCAAGCTCCAAATCGAAAGAAATCTGGCGTGTTATGCATCGCGGCTAAATCTGTCACCACAACTCCGCTGAGACTTGACTTGACGAATTAAACGTAGAACGCGGAGTTAGAGGTTAGGGGCGGGCTTGGGGTGGGGGTCGGGCATCAGTCCTGATACATAATAATAGGGGTCACACAAAGTATATACCAATACTGAAACCGACGTCAAAGAAGACCTGCTCAGTTTTGTTGACACACAACCAAACCGGTTAGTGATGATGCAGTATTTCATTTACGACCGGTTACGTCCAAAGCGGTTCTGCGTGAAATTAAAGGCATCAGATCCCATACATCTACAAGGCCGGACCAACTACCTGCAAAATATCTCAAGATTGTTGCGCGGCCCATCGCTGGTCCACTAACCCACATCATCAACTCCTTTGTAGCTGTATCGTCATTTCCTGATGCTTGCCAGTCGCTAGGATCAATCCAATACCTAAGAGTAACAACTCTAATACGAACTGTAATATGCGTCCCATATCAATTACTGCACAGTTCTGCTAAATATTAGAGACGACGTACTTCGTGCAATGGAGCGTGGGGACTAGTTGCATATTTCTTTTGCGATATACGATAAATGAAATTCAGTGCAAATGTGCAATATAGTTTTTGTTCTAACATATAGTTCATTAAGATTGTTCTGCCTGGGTAAAGCCCTGTCCGCTTATACAAACTGTGGCCCTACCAACTGACAACTATTTCAAAGATGTTGTCGTATATTATGTCTCAATCATTTCCATGGGTCCCCCCCCCCCCGGCGTTTGTCGGGCATTTGTCATTTTGGCGAAAAAATTTTGCAAATGCCCCACCATGGGATCCAAATAATACAACAAAATCCCACACCCTTGGGGACTTACATTGACTCAAATGCCCCACAAAATATAAGTTTTCTGAGGATTTCTGAACCAAAAAATCGAATGCAGGATCTATCTCGTATCAATATATCTGTATTTAAAATCGATTCTGCCATTTCGTTTCAAAACGTTTTTAATTAAAATATTGAAGTCTCAAAACTTTATATAGCAATATCAAACTGCGGAAGTAAGTCAATGTATCAACAGTATGGACAAGAAAAAAATCTAAAGTGTGTATGTCCGCCATGCCATGATTAATTCGCAACACGCACACACGTATAAACGTGCGTACTAAAATACGGCTAAATGGCGAAACAAGCGACAAATATTCGACTTTTTAGCCCTGAGCAAATTCCCCACCCCAGGGCTAACCTGCAGAACGCAAATGCCCGACCCTGGGAACAAGTACAGTTGAAAATGCCCGACAAACGCCCGACAAACGCCCATGGAATTGATTGAAACATTAATAAGGAACATTCCACGAAAGCATTTTAAAACAACAACTAATGAATATCGCGTGACTGCGTCAACTCTCATCGCGACTCTCATCAACTCTCATGATCTCATCACAATAGACCTTTCTGGTAATTACGTCACGATATCCCGAGATCTTCAAGTTTTTTCAGAAAGCATCATGCAATATGACGTCATAGTGAGCAGAATTTGCATCAGATCAAAAATTGTAAAATATCTCCAGAAAGAAACGAGCTGAGATAGTTTGGCAAATTACCTTACTAGTCACTTTGAATTTTATTAAGTGGCCGTAACATTTATTTCTATGCTATAGTTTATATAGTAAACTGTTACAAATAAGTACTACGAAAATATCACTGATCCACGACAATTACTAATCAGCGGGCGACTGTTGTAGTATAGACAAAGGTGTCCACGAAAAACAGGATTGTTCCGATGAAACCAAATACCTAGAAAAGAACAAAAAATCTGATAGGTTGGACAATGATTTTGAAATAAAATCGAAATATCACTGCATATCGTGTATTCTTGACTTGTAGCATATAGATAATGGTCTGGAAACAAAAAAAATCCTTGTGTTATGTTTTATCTGAGTTTATGTTAATAGTTTGTGCACGGTTTCGGTGATTGAGCTCATTATATATTCACATAATCAAGTATCGTCCAATAGGAGTGGCTGAGTTGAAAGTGCAACAACGATGAAATTAATAAAGTTGAGGCGATATTTGTGCACGGTGAGGTACAGTTTAACATCAAACAAAGCTACAATCCTGGTCAAAAATCCTTGGCGCACCTAGTCGAAATAGCATAACCTTTACTTCATTTCTGATTACCATATAAATACTTGCCAATTTTATGCAAAATTCCATGCACAAACTCCCCATATCCCCCTTATCAATGTTGTGTAACACCTTGGACGTATAACACGCTACAGACAACATTGAACGGGCGAAAGGGGGTTGCTATGCTTGGTATTGAAGTGGGAGTCAAATTTCGCACAGTCAGTGTCAAGTGCGCCAATATTTTTGACCAGGATTGTAGGTCTTCTATTTTGCGGCTTTGAAGTTTGCCGGGCTTCCATCATATTATACCTCCCATCGTGAGAGCACAACTGACATGCTATTATTATTCGCAGTATGTTTCATTTGAGTTGCCATTTTTTACAAGAACTATGTACTTCGAAAGTCTGCGTTATTTATGTGAATTGAAATTGAGAACTGTTTTCACGCAATTTAGCTCAAATTTCTGAAATTCTTCTCAGAAACGTTTAGCGTCATGTAACGAATGAAATTGTTCGAACCATTACTGAAATTTGTCCAACTCCGTATTGGCTACAAGTATAAATTGAGGATTTGTACAGCGAAATTTTAGCGCGCATTGCTGCCCACGAAAACTAGGGTTCAGCCGCTTCATGTTGCTTCCGGCGCTCCTGGGAACAGCTGATTCTAATTTATATCGGAGTTAGCGCAATTTTCTATATTTCGCTATCTACACAGCTTTAGTAAACTGGACGGTCAATAAATAAATTTTTGCCAAATATTAAGATAAAACATTGATAGCGCAAGAATTCCACATGCAAATAATTAACTTACCACTCCGGCGATTAGTTGACTACATGTGTAATCATTATTTGCATCATCCAATAGGTCGCAGACGGATTTCTTCATGCCAAAAGAACCAAAACGGTCTAATTTTTTCTGTAATGAGGTCAGGGTTTTGGCAAGCAGAGCTGTTGAAACCAGTAACTGCAGTGTCCAAATTGTATGAACGACGACCATCTAAAATAAAATTAGGTATGATGTAAAAATTCTGGTTAATATTTTCCAGCTGTTATAGTGTGTCTCATCCAACAGGCAAGGCAAGGCAAGGCAAGGCAAGGCAAGGCAAGGCAAGGTAAGGTAAGGCAAGGCAAGGCAAGGCAAGGCAAGGCAAGGCAAGGCAAGGCAAGGCAAGGCAAGGTAAGGTAAGGTAAGGTAAGGTAAGGTAAGGTAAGGTAAGGTAAGGTAAGGTAAGGTAAGGTAAGGTAAGGCATGGTATGGTATGGTATGGTATGGTATGGTAAGGTAAGGTAAGATAAGGTAAGGTAAGGCATGGTATGGTATGGTATGGTATGGTATGGTATGGTATGGTAAGGTAAGGTATGGTATGGTATGGTAAGGTAAGGTAAGGTAAGGTAAGGTAAGGTAATGTAAGGTAAGGTAAGGTAAGGTAAGGTAAGGTAAGGTAAGGTAAGGTAAGGTAAGGTATGGTATGGTAAGGTAAGATAACGTAAGGTAACGTAAGGTAAGGTAAGCCTGGTAAGGTAAGGTAAACGCTGACTCGAGTTCTCACTCCCATATATATATATATATATATATATATATATATATATATATATATATATATATATATATATATATATATATATATATATATATATACATATATATATATATATATATATATACATATACATATACATACACATATACATATACATTAGGGGATTAGAGACCGGTCATTATTTATCGTGGGGGGTGGCACCGAAGCGAAATGTTTTTGCTGGTAAAAATTTTGCTGACCCAAACATTAAAAAGCAAAAACTTTGATTACCCAACCTCAAATATCAATTAAAAAATAAATACCCACCCCTGGCCAAAACCTTTACAAAAGAATACCATTCAGTTGTCACACATGTCCTTTACCACTTCTGTGACACAAGTTTGATAACTAAACTTTCCGGTTGTATGTACATGTACTTTCTTTGGAGACACCATTTGTCTCCCAACAAATCGGAAAATGATCAAGATAGTGACTCTGATTGATTCACATATTGTATTGACGTATGACTGTTGACATTGCTTTTTAGTCTCCAATATTTCAGTGAGTTGTGCTTTGGAAATGACAATAACTTTTTATTACCCAACCCTTGAGTTGTTTTGTTTTTCATTTATCCAACCTTTTAGTTACTCAAAATTTTGTTTACCCAACCTTTTTCTCTTCGGTGCCACCCCCCGCCATAAATAATGACCGGTCCCTTAGTAGATGGAAATTTCGAGTGAAATTTTTATACATTTATTAAACCAGGAGCAGTTGCAAAAAATGTAACTGTAGGCCCTCTGCATGGCAGGAATCGAACCTCCAGCCCTGCGATTCCGGTGCAGCGCCCTAATAAACGGGCCACAGAGAGACAGTTGTCGAGCTCCAACAACAAGTTCATCAATACTGTACATACTAAGGTGATGCCAATGTAAGGTGTATGGATAAATATCAGGATTTTCGATATCTCACTCGATATATAGTTTCTTGTTTTAAATATAGCAATAAAAACAATGGCTTCTCGCTTTGTCGTCGCGGAATTAAAAACTTCTACAGGGTGTATAAAAAAAAGCGCAATCCTCGACTGAAATGCAAATTGCTAAACAAATAATAGACGAAAACGTTAAAGTTTACATTCATTTTAAGGCGTAGCCATTCAGCTTTCTAGCAGTGGGCTGTTTCTTAAATTTGACTCATTGGTTCGCGGGTAATAATACTTTACGTTATTGCGATTGGAGATTAAAAAAATTGAGATGGAATAACAAATCGTTCTCATGAAAATATATGAATATTCATTAAAACAAAAAAATGTTGCATTTTATTAAATGGATTGTAACAATAAGTATAAGTACGGCTTTTCTTCCACTATTTTTAACTCAGTTTGAAACTTCAAATGCGATATAATTTTGGCTTGGACCATCTAAGTTGACTGACATCAACTTGCTATAATTTCTGTTTACATTACATCGCAATTCGATGAAACTCTGGCTCAGACACCAGAATGTTTTGACGATTTTTTAGCATTCGTTTAGGATTTTCAAACAACCTGGTCTCTTTTAAAATACTTTTAATTTGTTCTTACGTGGTTTTCCAGATGTAGTGACGACAACATTAAAGTTTAAAGAAGAAAATTGTAACATTTAAACCGACTAAACAATAACATAGTAAACTTGCATAATTAAACAGCAACTAAAAATGATAGGTTTACTAAATCTTTTCCTGTGCAATTATTACTAGCATTGGAGACAAGGATAATAATTTGTTTGAAAGAGAAAAGAACAGGCTTTGAAGTAAGCCTAAAAGCGTTTAACTAGAAATAGTATTTCGAAAGTTATTAAGCACAAAAGATGAATTGCGTTTATTTTGATACACCCTGTATAGTAGTAAAAACTTGAACACTATAGAAAAAGTACAAATTTATTGGTTGGAGTATTTAAGAATGGGCAGCATTAATTAAGGGACATCGGCGAAGACATGGAGACATACAAGGTTCAAGAACTTGACAAGTTCACAATTAACTTACGAATACATTTTGCCCTTTATGATTATAACAAGTAATCGCACAGTTCCTCATAAAATTAAGGTTTAATTTCACTTGTGTTTTCAAAGTTTCACAAATTGTGAAAGTTTGAAAACACACGTGAAAGTAAACCTTAATTTTACTTGGCCCCATGCGATTACCTATACAATTTTTTTTAGTATTTACTAATTTGTAGTTGGAAATTTCGAGTGGGATTTTTTTACTATTTATTAATTAAGCAGTCATTCAAACTCAAAGCTTTTATCCTATATAGAGGGAATACCAGTGAATGTTCAAAGTCAATCTTTTACGCATATTACCTATATCTGGATCAAATTCGTAATGTATTGTCCTAACTGGCCAATGATAACTTGCCAAGCTAACAGCATCACGTTTTCCAGCTTCCCCATTGAACACATCACGAACATAATCGTCCATTACAATGTCCGCCTGGAATAATTCTGAGAAAAATAGGGGAAAAAATACATCAAAGTTGTAGTATGGATATTTTCACTAGGATTGCAGTAATTCATCCCAATAAATGGGCAGGGTAGCACAGCTTTTGACACAGTTCTTTCGTTATCATAATCCAGGCAATGTACAACTAGCATGATTAACGGTTAATCGAACATTTGAAAAACGAAACAAGATTTTCAGTCTGCAAAGAATAAACGAAACAAGATTTTCAGTCTGCAAAGTTCACGGTAAAAGCTTTCGTATTCTTTTTACGGAAACG